GAGCGGATAATCAGAAGCACTCAAGTTAATAAACCAATCCCAGCTCGAACTCTCTCTCAATAAAATAGCCATGGCTTGAAGGGTGCAAGCAATCATGGTTGGGCCCATGTATGTCACGATATTCGACTGAGTCATCACGCGTACATTTCCCACATCGTTAAAAGTCGGGTCATTTTTCACCCACATTGTTAGGTTCAGCCTTTCCCTAGGCGGGGCCTCAAGGTCCATGTGGAGAATGTACCAATTTCTAGGGTGATAAACGGCCTGCAAAGTCCTCATCATCCTCTTGCTATCACCCTTCGTGCCTGATATCAAATAAGCCAGCCTCGGAGGCTCCAATTCCGAGGGCCCGACTGATTTTAACGATTTTCTCAGTTCGGGTTCGATAAAAACAGCTTCAGGGCTGTCTTGGCTGACTAAGGGAGCAATATCGAGTTGGGGTCGGTTTGGTGCATACCGACACACACGTAGCATAAAAACGGCGGCAGTAATTAGTGTGATCAACACAAGCACACTCACAAAGAAGGGTATTTTCCACCTCTGATCGGTGAATATCTTTCCTGAGTAAAGATTCAAACTTTTCCTCATTGTCATTGCTTTCTAAAGCTAATAAGACTACCCGAAAAAGAAAAAAAAAAAAAAAAATCAGAGAGCTTTGTCCTGAGTCTTAAAGTGATGTCTGAATACAGCTATTGTTCTTGGTTTCTCATAGCTCAAACCGACAAAATAAACAGTCTTTTCTCTTTGGGTCCCTTTACATTTGTGAGGGAGACAATCAGACAATCAAGGTTTCTTGAGAAGCCATTAATGAACAAAGCCCAGATGGGAAATCAAAGGGGAGAAAAGGAAAAATGACGAACAAATAAAGTACTCAAATTCAAAATTTACCTCCCAACGAGAAGCCCAGACGAGAAGAGTAAAGTTGGGTGAGAGGGAAAAGGGTACCGTAACCATACAGATTGCTTAAGATGGGAGTGTTTTGAGGTATGAACGCTTGTTAATCTGTATAAAGTGATTTGATTATATTGTATATATTCTGTAATTGCTAGTGTGAATGTGTGATGAAATTAACGGGTCAGAGTCGGCCCGGAACCGGCCTGTATGGACGGGTCTTTGAACTGGACCCGTGGTACTACTGGGCCGGTTGCGGGTCATGTTTTTTCTTTTTCTAAACTTGCCGGTTCTAGGCTAGATAAAAAAACTGGCGGTTTATTGAGCCGGTTTAGTGAACCGGCCTTTACATATAGCCGCGTCGGTTCTAGGCCCAAGTTTTGAGATTCGACGAACCGCTTGGCCGAGATGGGTCGTGAATGGGCCTGCTAGTTGGCCATATCTACTTAACTATGGTCCTTGGTGGTTTAACTTTTAAATAGACTTTTGACATATGGATCTAACGGTTAAAACACCCAACGAGGTGGTACTGTAACATCATCGTAACATTTCTCCTTAATATATAGTAAACATATATAAATCCTCTAATTACGGAAAGTAAACCAAACGTGCAAGATAAATTTCCCATTGACCCTTAATATATAGTTAACATATATCAATCCTTCCCATTGACCCTTAATATATAGTTAACATATATCAATCCTCTAATTACGGAAAGTAAACCAAACGTGCAGGATAAATTTCCTATTGATAGCTCACAAAACCTCGACTCTTTTACATGTTTACGATACGTTTAAAAAAAAAAAATTACGCAAATCTACATTTAAATTAAAACAATAAAAATAAACTATTTATAGCGAGTAGTAAGTCAAAAAATAATGTAAATTTTACATTTAAAATAAAATAATAAATAAACTATGTATAACGAGTAATAAATAAAAAATAATAATGTAAATTTTAAATCAATGACAAAAATAAATGGCAAATTAACTATTTATAAAACATGGGAGTTATTATAATTCGAAATAAAAATAATAACTTTATAAATATGTAAATTAGAATATATATATAGCTGAATGGTTTAATTTTATCTCAACTAACCAGGTGAAATGGGTACTTATGGAGTTCAATTATTTTTTTTTTTTTATTTTTTTTTGGAATCCAACTTTGAAAAAAAAAAGAAATAAATAGATAGTAAAACAACATTAGCTTACAAAAGTCTTCAATTCAAAACACTATTATGACTATCTGAATATATTATGCCAACTTGATACAATAATATAATATAATTCGTGCTTTAACTTTATACCTTTCGGTGAAATTTGCAAACTATCACTGATATATTACTATTATTTTTTTTTTTTAAAAAAAATAAACATAGGATGAAATAAAATTGAAGCCTAAATTGATGCCATGATATGCTCCTGATTATTCTCTTTACCAATGCACTAAAACACCATAATACATTTTACACAATGAGTCATAATCATTTGAAATATGCTCATTGTGATTTTCAAAGAATTCAACATGAACTCATATCACAACATAATTTCAACAATAATTTCATCAATGTTATAACCTTTATTGAATAATTCCATTGATTGTCTGTGGTAATTTGTGTTGGATTTTGACACGATTTCAATCGCAGTTTATTCAATGGTTGAAATTATTGGTAGGGTAACCCATTTAACGAAGATTTCCACAACAATAAATTGTTACTATAGGTGTTGTTAGGATCATCAAACTTCAACTAAAAATCCATGAGAATTTTAGTTACGACGTAAGATTTTAGTGTTGATTTCCAATTGAATATTTGTTGGAATTTTTCTGCAGAAATTATGAAATGGAATTTCCGTGTGATTTTTTGTTGCGACATTTTTCTATTAGATTTTCCATTGTAATTTGATATTTAATTGTACAAGCCATCTACCATTGTGGTGTGTGTTACAAGTAGGCTTGTAAACAGAGCATTTTTTTTTATTCGATTCGATTCATATTCGTTTAACTTTTGAATATAAAACATTATTCATGTTTTTATTCGATTCGATTCTCGACTTTTGATATTCGTGATTCGAATTCGAATTCAAATATGAATAATGTTTTATATTCAAAAGTTAAACGAATATGAATCCAAATTTGTAGATATTCGATTCTAAATTATTGAATATTCGATTCAATAACGATAATTATATAAATTTTGTTTATAATAGATATATATGTGTGTATGTGTGTGTTGTCATATTCCAAATATTTTTATAACATAAAAAGTAAAAACATCCGAAAGTAACAATTTGCCTTAAAAACATCTCAAATTGGATAGAAAACAAAAGGCATAAACAATATGTTTTTGTAATTATAATCTTTTTTTTAATTATAATATTTTTCTGAAACTGAATCGAATGGAATATGTTCGAATATTCTAAATGAATACGAATCAAAAAATTAGTTCGTTTACAAATTGATTACGGATTCAAATCCTCGAATATTTTAACGAATTAAATCGAATGTCTTAGTGTTGCTTTAATTCGATTCTCTTACAACCCTAGTTAGGAGATACTAACATGAGTGTATTCAATTGATATTCCCTTTTAAAATTCCTAAAATTTCAAGGTATTCAATGAATTTTTTTT